TGACCGCATTTCTACAGCATTTATTCTGCTCTCGTGCTTCTTCTGCCACACCCAACTTTCACTACCATACATTAAAGTAGGTACTAACACAGCATTGTGAATAGCTGTACGTGCCTTTTTGGACACATTCTGACTTTTCACAATAGAGTGTAGAGCCCCATTCACTCTATTTCCTGCATTCACTCGTGGTTCTATATCCTTATCATGTCTACCATCCCTGCTAATCACACATCCCAAATATACAAACTCATCTACTTGCTCTACCAACTCCCCTTCTATTCTTATTTCACATATCGTTTTACTTTCTTCTCTTTCAAAAACCATACCTTTCGTCTTACTTGCGTTCACTTTCATTCCCTTTTCTTTTAATGTCCTGTTCATTAATGTAACCATCATTTGCAACTCGGCTGCCGACGACGCAAGTATGACTTGATCATCGGCGTACAAAAGGCAATTGACGGTTAACTCACCCATTCTTAACCCGCATTCTTCTACTTTCAAATTTTCCAAACACCTGTCTATAAATAGGTTGAACAACCACGGGGAAGCCACACAGCCCTGTCTGATCATCTGTCATAAGCCTTCTCCAAGTCCATGAACGCACATAAAACTTTTGGTTTTTGGCCAAAAACTTCTCCGCGATCATGCGCATGGAAAAGACCTGATCCGTACATCCCATTCCCTTTCTAAATCCCGCTTGCACATCCCAAGTCTTTCCATCAGTTTCTTTCATAACTTTTTCAATTAGTACCTTAGCATACAGTTTTCCCACAATGCTAAGAAGGCTGATACCACGGTAGTTTTTACAGTCCTGCTGTGATCCTTTTCCCTTATATATTGGGACTATCACGGCTTTGCACCAGTCTCCCGGTACCCGCTTAAGTTCCCAACATAAATTAAACAAGGTGTAGAGCAGGTCTGCCACCACTCCTTCTCGAGCCCTTAGCATTTCGAGAGATACTCTATCATAACCGGCTGCCTTACCTGCTTTCATACTTTTCATTGCTTTCATTATTTCATCTATACTTATATCTCTATCTATTTCCTCTTCTTTCGGAATTTCTATTTCATTTAATTCAAACGTCTCATCACTCATAAACACGCTTTCAAAATATTCCTTCCATCTCCTTAAACTCAAAACTTTGTCATTCAGAATAAAGCCATTCTGGTCTCGTATAGCATTCATTCTAGGCTGTTTTGAATGTCCCCTGGTAGTTCTTACGAGTTTCCAGAACACTTTAATGTTTGCCTGGAATTTATCCGATATTCTTCTATCATTCTTATCCGTTCTTTCTTGCTTTTTACTTTCAATTACTTCTTTTACTCTCTTATTTAGGTGTCTAAAAACTGCCTTTTTCCTTTCAATATCATCATTTATACTGCTAGAATTACTAGCCTTGGTTGCTATTAAATCTAGCCATGCTTTCTTCTTTGTTTCAACTTCCACCCGTACCTCATCATCCCACCATAACTTGTTATTTTTCCTTTCATTCGTTCTCTTACTTACACCACATACTTCGGTAGCTGCATCAACTAAGCCTTTCTTGACATTATACCACACAGTCTTCAAGTCTAAATCATTCATACACAATTCAGCCATACCACTTATATTTTCTCTCAATCTACATTTGAACTTCTCTTTCACACCTTCATCTTGTAACCTCTCTGTTCTTATACGGTGTAACGCAGTGGTAGACACAGATGTCCGATGCCTCCAACGTCTGAAAAGACCATTAATTCGGCATAAGACCAAGTATATACGACTTCTAATAGCCATTTGTCGTGTGTGATATTAACTGTGAGCTTTTACCTCTACCACAGCTACCATCACGGCTACGACCAAGACTCTGCCTGTGATATGTTCTCTTTGCACGTCGTCTTGCCCGTAGTTAGTACGACGAAGTTTACGGTAAGTCTGAGTTGTCTGATAGTATCAGAGAAGCCACCAAAGTAATCAAATCATCTTAATCTTCGCTCGAACTACTGTGAGGAGGATCACGGATAGTTTGATTAATTTCTGGTGGATGAAACTCTGGATCTTCATCTGAATCATCTCCAGAATAATCGATCTCTGAGTCATTCAAAACTTCTGCGATGACGTTAGATGTTAACGCTGAAAAAAACCACAATACTTGAAGAAATCGTAAACGTAATTTACATAGTACTCAGGATGGCAGTCGTGAAAAATATTTATTGCATACTTTTGTACTTTGCAGTGAACGTAGAAAAAAAATATCAAGATGACAGGCTGAATATTTGATTACTTTTTACAATAACACTTTGAACAATTAGTTTTTTTAAAAACTATGAAATGACTTATAAAATTAAACGATTCATATGGATTAACTTACTTTTGCGTAAACGCACGTTCGCTAAACAACCTTCCGACACCATTGTTAAAAGCATGACAGAAGATGTTTTACTTTTTTAGTCGTAACGTGTTTGTGTACTCGTATTCACTGGATGTCGCTAGTAAAATATTTTAGCTCAGGCAATGAAAACAAAAACCATAGATTTTTATTTTTATTACGCGCTATGTGTAGTACAGATGTACGCAGGAGGATACAGCAACATATCATTGTACCGTCTTGACACGCTATTTCTATTAATTTCTATTTATTTTATTTACTCGTACAAACGTAACAATATTAGATCTGTTATTAACTAAAGCGGAAACATATTTTAAAAAGAAAACTAATAAAGCTACTACGCATTTTTTTAAATTAACTAATGAATTTTGGCCATAATCTTGACGCTTGGCAGACGGATCCGCACTCGCAGTACCAAATGCTTCGGTCTTTTTATGTTCTCCCATCCAGCTGTCCGCCATAGAATCTACCCTCTTAAAACACACACGGAAACGGATTCTCTTACGACTAACGGGCTGATGGGTAATTCTAGCTGACTCGTTCATACTGCAGCCAACTAGGAGCTATAACACGTATTAACATAATGTATAAGTTTATAAAGTAGCAGCTTTAAAAAAGTCGTCTCCGTTACCGTTACCAGTACAGGCTATCAAAAGTCTATTGCTGTACATTGGCCTACTCCATGGATTGTCTCGTAAGATATCTATGGTTAACTAGTTGTTTTTATTATTTAGTTCTTACTAGGAGGACAGTAAGAGCCGACAGAAGGAAACAAAACGAGAGATAGGCAGCAGCATCTTCCTAATAACAACTAAATCAGCTTAGGTTGCCAACCAGCCTACCAAGCGTGGCAACTATGGCAAATATCCGCCTCATGTGGCAATCTGTGGAAGAGGCGTATGTATAACAGTGGACTTTTGATAGGCTGTAACGATAATGAGACACCTACACTATTATTTTAAATGTATACGAGTTGGTATTTAGAAATTTACGTGCCCTTTTCACGGCGAATGTACCCACATAAAAAATTGAAATACTAAATTGAATTTATTTTCACAACAAATTAAATTTCTTCGTAAAAGCTATTTGTGTATGAATCACAGTTTCAGTTCCCCTAAGACTTTTATAATACACATTAAAAAATGTCATCAGCAGCATTTCAACGACAGAGCCTGAGCTCTTGAGATGTAATAAAATCCGTTATCAAGATTTTTCGAGCGTTTATTGAGTATTCATCAGCGTAAGTGTCCTATTAAAACAGTAATACGCCATTATTAGAACTAAATTTGTGAATAATTATGACCGCAGACTAACGTACATTTTAAGTGACGCCAAAACAAGTACTGATTCTTGACACGTACTCACGCAAACATCTTTATTCTTTCTTTATTAAACAGTTCTTTATTAACAGTTTACGTATCTTAAACCATGTTGTTGTTTACTTATGATTTTAGATCTTAGAATAATCATTATCCATTCAGCCCTTCACAAATCCACTGCTAAATATAGGCCTTTCCTAAAGGGAATGCCACAATGTACGATCCTGAGCCACCTGCATCCATCGACTTTCTGCATTCCAATGCAAATATTATGCATCTAATACGTATGTTAGAGTAATAACAGTGTGTTGTTATATTAAGTTAAGCAAGGTTTTGGTATTATTTGAAATATGCATAGTGTTCTGTCTTTTTATTTTTCGGAATTGCTAGTAGATTATCTTAAATGACTACTACACTGCAAACATAGTTTATAATTACATATACCTATTTTTAAACATACAACAATATCTATGATACATTTAATTAATTTCGCATAAAACTATAAATCTTATCGCAATACCGCTTAACATTTAATAGCTACGATCAAAACTTAGCAACAATAAAGACGTATTTAATCACACGCCGAATGCGAAACTCATTCTACGAAACGGTCATAAAACCGATCATTACAGATCACAATCCGTTATCAAAATTAAAATAGTTTTTAGACCCGGCAGGGCAAAAATTACCTAGCTCGCTCAAAGACTTAGCGAGATGTGGAGTGCAAAAGTGTAATGTGTGTCTATAAAGATAATGTTATAATAGAGCATTAACTGTACACTCGAATGATATAAAAACAAAATATAAAAGCTAGTCTAAAACAATTGTGCTAAATGATTTCACGGTAAAAAGAATCTCTTTTGTAACTTAACTATTGATATTTTGTGGCTTGGTTCCTTTCTGCATATTTTTATTTTCATTTATTCATTTCGTCCAATCAAAATCCACTACTGAATGTAAACCTCCTCATAGAATACCTCATAATGGAGATAGTTACCAAGTTTGGCAAGCTTATTTACAACAGCAATTTTTTATTTTCTAGTTGTCAGTAGTAAGACGCTACTGCCCCTCTCTAGGTTCGTTTACCTCTGCAGTCTCTTACGAAACCCACAGGACGATATGAGGTAGTAGATATAGACACCGCCACTACACGGTGTTATCATTAAAAATGCCCATAAAAACCAAATAAATAAATACAGAGTACACGTTTAATGATTAAAGATTTTAACTAATTTTTCGTTTCATTTCTTCTTTGCTAATAATATTTATGCTGAACTAGGTCTTGCTTCCATGGCAAATAGTCACGTTGGATATGAATAGCAAAAAGTATTCAGGATCATTTTTTTTGTTTGTATATTTTTATATTACAAAATGCAAAGCGGAGATGGAACCGTTTATAGTCGGCGGTCATTTCACAAAGATATCAAAATTTCCTCATTCAGTCTTCTTAACAGTAGAGTGTGAAAATACTTGGATATGTGGTTCTTCAATATTGAACCAAAAGATTCTTTTAACGGCAGCACATTGTGTTTTTGGATGTAAAACGCGTTGGAAAATACAATGTTCTGCAGGTGACGAAGACCTTAGCAAGGTAAATTTAATTTTAACTATTTCTTTCTTTATTTTTGATGAGAAGGTACTTTAGCTAGGACAAATTATCTGACTAGATAATCCAGTTTCAACCAAGATGTCAATCAATGGTTCCATTTTGATTGAGTAGCGAGAGAATGACACATCTTCACGGCACGTATTCCTCAAAACTTGAAAAGAAGATTGTACAATAAGTGGCCGGTGCGGTGATGAGTTATGGATCTGAGACGTGGTTTTTCACCACTGGCCAAAAGAGGGAGCTCAATGTTGCTCGGCGAGCTACAGAGAGGGTTATGCTTGAAGTTTCTCTCCGTACTAAAATTTTAAATAAGGATTATCCTCAGTACTAGATCTGAGTAACCGACATAGCCCAACGAATTAGTAAATTGAAGTGGCAATGAGCCAACAATATAGCTCGAAAAACCGAAACGCGATGAGGAAGACAATTTCTCGAGTGGGAGCCTCGTGTTGGTAAGCGAAGTAGAATGACACCTAGCGAAGTGGAGGGTAAGTCGATGATGACTCTGGACTGTGTTATGCGTTCCCCGGAGGAGACACATGTTCAGCAGTAGACTTGTGAAAATGATGATGATATTTTTATTAGGTTAGACAGTGTTAATAAGCATCTAAACATTCCATTACGATCGCTTTTCATTGTAATCATATGCCAATTCTTGGATTAAGTCTCCTAAATTATATCGTATTATACGTACGTAGCGTTTGACAGACAAATTAGCAATTTATTCTATTGAATATTCTAGATATCTATTATAATATATGATATCAACATCTGAATGTATTTTACAGTATAGTGGCAACGTAAGATAATCCTATATTCTATTTTGTCCCGAAAGTGTTGTAACAGAAACTGTAGAAAATATCATAAATGGCTTTCAGTTAATAGTGAGATTAAAAATATCTTTGTGTAATTCCAAGACCCAACACAACTTCATACTAAATTTCATTGAAATCAGTTCAGCTAATTTTGCATGATGAGGTAATTATTGATTAACTCCCCAGATCTATACCACAGGATTCGTGCATTTTTCCGAGATAACAACTCTATGTAAACTAAACTATAAAAATTACAAAATCGTGTCAATTCGTTGCTTTGTTGCTGAGTGACAGAAAACCAAACCAACAAACATTCTTTCGCATTTAATTTTTTTTTATAGAATACGGGTGACAAACGAACACACGTCCCACTTGATGGTAAGTAGATGCTGTGACCCAATCCTCTAATAAAAATCACAATAAATATGCGTTGTCACCCGTGAGGACTAAGATGGAATGCTTAGTTTTAGTGAAAAGGGCATCAGGTTCTTTACACTCACCATACGAGACAGCAGCCTTAAGTTGCTACTTTAATTTGATATTCTGTGAAGGTGTGACCCTTCCCCAATCGAGCCGCTCTATTCGTGCTACAACCAATATGTAGTTGTAGCATGGCTCTACCACGTTTGCCATGTTAATAGGGATAGAGATTTCTCGTCTTCAATATGTTTTAAATAACATTCATTTACAGGTAAACGTAATAAGGGAAGCTGCCGGATTTAAAATTCATGAGAAATACGATGATAAATCAATGGCTAACGATATTGCAATATTAGACCTCAAACGTAACTTACCGTTAAATAGATATATGAAACGAGTAATAATAAGAAGATCACATCCTGTTGGCGTACTCGCAAGTGTTGCAGGTTGGGGCGTCACAAATGTACGTCAAAGATCTTTTATACTCTTTTGAAACTAAACTCATCAATAAAAGAATAACGGTATCCTTTTTGGGTTGGTTCAACATTTCTACGCTTAAATTCAAAATGGAATATTGTAAAAGATATTAATAATAATTAAAAAAAAGAGAAATATCTATTTTAAATTTTAAATATTTAATCTGTGTCTGTTGGGATATTTGTAGAGGTTATTTACATACTATTAAGATATGAATTACCGTGAACCTGAATAAGCCTTGTACAATTTTTATCCGTCTCTATCTGTCAGTTTGGTTGAACTAATTGTAAAGTAACTTTCCGAACAGAAAGTGCGCAATTCCAGAGTGATATGTTTTATCCGATACACGTGCAGGTTTTTTTTTTGGAAAACAACAATATACAGATACAATAAAAGGATTTTGATGATTATCTCATAATCTTTAAGACATATAAAAAGTTAATATATAAGCTCGTCATTCACTACTAATCCCAGCAACACTACTCCCACCACCACTACACTAGGAAAGAAACACCACTGACGACAATACGACACGTGTTTCGCCTCTACACGAGGCATCTTCAGCTAAGTCAGCGGTCAATCACCGCAGAGTCTACATCACCTGAAGATGCCTTTAATATACTATGGAAAATGCTCATGTTCAACAGTGGAGTATTTACGGGCTTTTGTGTTAAAAGGGAGATTTATAGTAACTGTACGAAATTAAAAAAATAAAAACATCCAATATAAACATGTTTCAGAGGGAAACAAATGCGGATTCAATAGTGTTAAAGATGGCGACTCAAAAAGTATTACCCCCGTGGTTGTGCGCACGTTTTGGATACTTGGGTCCTGGAAAGATGTGTGCCAAAAGTCCCACGCCTAATACGAGCCCTGCTCAGTAAGTCATTAAGTGATATTTTTAAAATACTCCTGATAACTCATAAGCCTTCTTACTGTTACTATAATTGATAGGAAGTAAGCTATATCACTACTAGACACTAGCTTTAAGAAATTATTTTCTATCTAACTGGGTTAACACTATACAGTTGCTTATTTCTGCAGGCCCAAATGCGCTCACTCTGTTTTCTGCTTTGAAGAGTCACTTTAACTATCGACTGCGAGTCATCCATCGTAGTCTTCAAGGGTGACATCGTACCCTTGTTCTTCTTTGTTTGCAGTTCTTTGCTGATCTTAGGGCACAGTAGCAATAGACTGGTAGGGAGGACGCTCATTTTTGTTATAGGTCGGCCGATTGGGACGGGATGCGGTCTTTTTTGCATCCTACCCTTAAGGGCGAGTTTGCTTCTCGCCGAAAGATCCCAGCTATCCCCTCGATACACTGGTACTGCGTAGGGATGTTGTATCCCTTTGCATTTCCTATCGAATTTACTACGGGGAGTGCTCTGAGGAATTGTTTTGATTAATTCCAGCCGCCAAATTTTACGAACGCACATCGCGTCAAAATTAACGAAACCATCCTCACCATCTGGATGCTTGGCGGTCCACGACTGTACGTTTTACTAGGGATTTTCTTCCTCGTACAACTTCCCTGTGGAATTGTTTACCACAGGCGATTTTTCCGGAATGATACGACTTCCGGACCGAGGGACCTTCAAGAAAAGCGCTTACAACTTTCTAAAAAGCCGGCAACGCATCTGCAATTCCCCTGTTGTTGCGGTTGTTCATGGGTGGCGGTAGTCACTTAACATCAGGTGAGCCTTATGCTCGTTTACCCCCTCTTCTATAAAAAATACAATGGGAAGGTAAACCGACACGACCGGAGAGAGATCAATCCAGGTTGCTACTGAGAATTTCTTGTGAGAAAATGCCCAAATACTGATTTTCACCCGACTGACGATTCAAACCCAGTAACTCAAAATCATATGTTGCGTTTACGACCACTAGACCAAATAAACAGCCACTTCAACTATAGCTATATACTGTAAAAATCTTAGAAAAGCGTAAAGGAGCTATGTAAGATGTTGCCTAGAATAAAATCTTACTTACAAACCAAACTCGTTAATGGGAATAACAATTCGTAAAAACACGATAAATAAAGAAAAACAATTAGTAGTTTCTACTTAGGCGACGACAACTTAGTCCCGCATTTCTGATAGTGAGGCGTACCAAAACACAAGGTGCACCTTGAGTAACATTCCTCCCTGCCAAAAAACCCAAAAATCGCCATACAAAGAAGACCAGAAAACTATCACTCTGAAGCTCCAGCTTGCCCAATACCAATGATAAAGAATTTATTTTATAGAATAAGGACGACAAACGAGCACATAGTCCACCTAGAGAATCAAAATGCAGATGTGTTGTCACCCCTGAGGACTGAGATGGATAACCTCGTTTCCAGAAAAGAGGGTTCCCGGTTCTCTACACTCACCATACAAATACATCAGCATTAACCACGTATCCAGCTATGTGGGACTCCCTTGAGACAAGTGGCTGAGTTTACGTACCTGATACATATTGTAACTGAGCGCCTGGATGACGACAGCGACATTGAACGAGGTGCCGAACGCTTTCAGTCCGAGGCAATATGTTGGGTCGCAGATTTGCACGTAGTACAACTCAAGTCAAGTTAACTTTGTTCAAGGCGTATTGCCAATCCTTTTACACGTGCAGTCTGTGTACTGACTGTACGCAGCGAGCCTATAGTGCTTTGCTGAACATGCATGCATGCATGCATACAACAATGTGCTGAGGGTGAAGTTGAGGAGGCCTCGACACTGCAGTGCGTCGGCTATGTTTGCGGATGCTCGTGTGGACGACTTCTACGTGATCATGCGCAAGCATCCCGCTTTCATGATGAGCAGACTATTTAAGAGCTACAACACCTTTCTCAGCGCATTGGCTGTGAATCTGGATAGCCCGCTATGGAGGACTTGGAATGGTGCACACACCAGCACCAGGAGAACCAAACCTAGTGTTAGCTATGTGAAACTGGGTGTAGGTTTAAGTTACTTATAATATTAATTTCTATTTTATTTTATACATACATTAGGTTAAGGTTTATTTCACTAACAATCTATGACTATTGCTGGTCGAAATAAAGTATTTTCTTTATTATTTATTTATTTATTAAGCTGCTATTTTACTCTGGTATTCTGTGAGAGCGAGGTATTATCCCAGTCGAGCTAACCCATTCGTACTGCAACCACAATATAGCTGCAGCATGGCTTTGCCACATTAATACAAAATAAATAAGGATACACATTAATAAGGGTAAGGAAATTATCGAATTACAATATCAACTCTCACATGGTGAGTCTCCGCAAGAGTTGCAGGTTAAGGCAAGTTGTGCCTCGCATACAAATACTGCCGTTCTTCCGTGACTCCACCTTAGCTGCAGGGCGCAGGTGAGCTACCATTCCATCCACAGTCAACCAACACTCATCCGTGTTAGGTTAATTGATAATATTATTATGCTTTGTGACATTTCTTGGGTCAAAACTATGATTAGCAGTGGACTTGTGAAGGAATGTTGTGTTCTTGTTGTTGATCATGATGATGATGATGTTGATGATATTGATGACGAAGATGACGAATGACGATGACGAAAATTATCTTCATGTTCAGAATTTTATCCTTCTAATTCCAGAGGTGATTCAGGCAGTGCACTCATCACAAAAGATTTTCAACAACTAGGGCTGGTATCTTTTATATTCTCAGATTATCCAAACATTCCTGTCTACACAAATGTATCTTATTACTACGATTGGATAAGAAGCAAATCTTTTTTATTATATTGTGATTAATTAAAAGCCATGATATAACACAATCATCACAAAATAATGTACTCTATTTTATCCTTCATAACAAAAGGTTAAATACATTTCAAAATAATAATACAATATTTTTCAATTAAATTCAAATAAAATAATTATATTAAATTAAAATAAAATAACAAGACTTTTATTTAATAAATTGTTTTTAAGAATAATAAGCTTAAGTATTAGCTCAGTAAATTTTTTTGTTTATTTTTGATTTCCACAGGTTTTATTGTTATATTTTTTTTAATTCTTCAACGCATCTCTGGCCTTATTTATTCAAAGTTAGTAACAGGTATCCATGGAGTACTACAATGTCTATATACCATCAGATATATTATAAGTTTGACTGTCGAATGTTATTAAAAGTCATAATTCTTTAAAGGGCCTACGCAAACGAAAGACGAAAATTTGCATTTTGAATGCTGGGTGGATTATGAGATACATTTCGATGTTTTTTTATTTTTACGGGGAATTTTTTTTTCATCAATAGTGCCCGATTTGGTTTTGGCCAAAAAAGGAGGAGCTGACAAATTGGCAAGAGGTATTATCCCCCCCTCCCCCCTCCCCCGTATCGTGTCGTGACTTAGTAATTACGGTGACAAAGAGCAACCACTTGGCTGGCCCAAGGTGAAGGGCGGTTATAGTACAGTCGTGAGGGTAGAGGAGTGTCGGTATTACGAGACGCCGCTCTCTCTACTCCCGTGGTCGAAACTTTGTTTTCTCCAAGCCACCAGTAGTGCTCATATATTGTCTAATGATGGGCGTGTTGGTTAGCAAAATGTTTACATTACGTACGAACGAGCATACCCAAAGGGAATCGATTATGCAGTCGGTTGCTGACAACAATCACTAATTCTCCTCGAATTAGTTTGTCAAGATCACAACGTTGTATTTACATACCTGCTGGTTAGAACCAATTGTATTAGATGGAGTAAGTTACCCGTTATCCTTTAAGTATCTTTACATCTATTACGTCGGGCTATATAATGCCCAACGTAACGCGTGAACACGAAAAGATAGAAAAGAGGTAGGCTAGAACGCAGAGATAGAGAAACGGGAACAAGCATATCACAAACATGCCTGAAAACCAGTTATTTACTTTATTACATAAATAATGGGTCCGGTTGTAATTCGAAGCAAGGACTAAAAGTCAAATGTGAAATCTAATTAAAATCAAACGTCGCTGTTTAAAGCTAATTATTTTTATATATTTAAATATATATTTTCAATTAATTAATAAATATATCTTAAAACTTAAATCTTAGTACAAAGGTTTAACATTAATTATTTGAATCGTGACTTGACAATACTTGTCAAGTGTGTTGTGGTCCCAAATTATTCTGAATTATTTAATCGCACGGTCTGCCTTGTCGGGTTTTATTAGTTTACTAGCAAAAATGTATCTTACTACCATCAATAACATTTTAGGGCTTAACACATTCACTGTTCAGTTACCAGACACAAAAGTAAGACAATAGCAATGTACCACATGTGGCTCATTTTGAGCAATCACTACCTGCGACACTGCAATAGAGGAGCATATGTATGTCATGCACACTGAACGGCCGCCCCGCAGAATGCTCTGTAAATCCTTATCCTGAGACCTGAGTATAGATGATATTGTCCTGAATATAGAGCGTTCGTCAGATCCTGTAGCTTGGCACGGTGTTCTGCACACATTTAAAGCGGCCGCCACTAAGGTGGGTTAGCCATATTGACATTCTACAATCGTTAACACTAATAGATACTTTAAAAACGAATCCCTTATTAAACTAAGATGCTGTAAAACAAAAACATCCATTCGTTATGCGCGCAAAACACATCCAGTGAACACTCGCCTCAGAGATGTTGCTCTTGGGTTTGGAGTAACAAATTATTAATTTTGTAAAAACTAATATTGACTTTTAATAACATATATATTATTAGATTTTTGAGACTAAATACCTTTAGGAATTTTCTAAATCACAAACACAAATAAAGATAAAAACCTAAGCAATACTTATAAAGTTTGCTTAGGTACACAATATAACTTTTGCTTTATAATCTTCTATTTACGAAACTGGTTTCTTTCATTAAACAATTAAAACTAGGTAAAAGTAAAAATATTTTAGGACGAAAGAATAGAGGACACCAACATTCTGAGGTAAACAAATGGTAAGGCTAATTAGCTCTTGCCTCATAGAAGGAAAGCGACTGCCTGGTGTCATACCATAAGTAAATCTTGAGTGATTAGTGATTTCTCAGAAACAATGACTTCAAACCAAAATATACTCGTAGCAACGCGACAACTCATGTGAACGTCCACGTCCCATCTATGCCAGTAGTTGTTGGAAACTTGGGAACAAAATACAAACGCAAGAATTACAGAACTACAGAAGCAACTGCTACATGCATTATACAATATATACTGCTACATGCACAATATATTTTGTAACTGTGAATATGTAAATAATAAAGCTCGTTAAGCCATGTGATAATTTTATCAAGGTAATTGGTAAGTCCAACTAAAGGTTAATCGATGGATTCAACTTCGCAGATGATCATTCTAGAGATTAAGACACAACAGAGAAAGACAGAGAAGTTGCTAGTGATACGGTTAACATTATTTTAAAGTGATAATAATCTAATTCGTGTAATAGTAGTGAAAAGTAAGTGTTAATATAATATAAACTCTATACTGTTATCTGTGGGGAAAAAAATTTAACAAAAATGACAAACAATTAAAAGTGAAGTATAAATTTTTTTTATAGGATAAGGGTGTCAAACGAGCACACAGTCCACCTGATGGTAAGTGGTTGCTGCGGCCCATAGACATCTACATCTATCCTCTGTTACAAATCAAAATGTAGATGCGTTGTCACCCGTGAGGACTAAGATGGAATGCCTCATTTCCAGTAAAAAGGGCCTCCGGCCACCTGCACTCACCTAGCGAAACGCAGAGGTAAACCTCTACTTCACGCTGGTTTTCTGTGAGATCGTGGTACTACCCCGGTTCGAGCCGGCCTATCCGTGCGACAACAAAAGCTGCCGCGTAGCTCTACCACTGTTAAATAATAATAAATACTAGTGCAAAGCTATAAAAACACAAATATACATTTATTGGAGGGTCATCATCATCATCATCATCATTATAGCTCTTCACAAATCCCATGCTAAACAAAGGCCTCCCCCAAGGAATTCCACAAAGCACGGTCCTGAGCCACCTGCATCCATTGACTTCCTGCCAGTCTTACCAGGTCGTCACTCCATCTAGCGAGGCGAAGCCCTACATTTTGCCTGCCGGTACGAGGCTGCCACTCGAGAACCTTTCTTCCCCATCGGTTGTCGGGTCTTCGAGCTATATGGCCGGCCCACTGCCACTTCAGCTTACTAATCCGTTGGGTTATGTCGGTCACTCCAGTTCTACTGCGGATATCCTCATTCCTAAGTTTATCACGCAGAGAAACTCCGAGCATAGCCCTCTCCATAGCTCGCTGAGCGACCTTGAGCTTCCTCATACGGCCAGCAGTGAAGGACCACGTCTCAGATCCGTAAGTCATCACTGGCAACACGCACTGGTTGTACAATTTTGTTTTAAGGTTTTGAGGTATGTCTCACGAGAAGATGTGTAACAGCTTCCCGAACGCTGCCCAGCCGAGTTGAATCCGTCGATTGACCTCTCGGTCGAAGTTGGACTTACCTAGTCGGACTATTTGTCCCAGGTAAACATACTCGTCAACAACTTCGAGCTTAGTGCTCCCAACAACTACCGGCATTGGTGTGACATGGACATTAAACATAATCTTTGTTTTGTCCATGTTCATCTTAAGACCTATCCGTTGGAAGACACTATTGAGGTCATTGAGCATAGTGCTTAGGTCCTCCAGCGATTCTGCGATAAGGACTATATCGTCGGCAAATCGAAGGTGAGTGATGTACTCGCCATTGATGTTAATACCGTATCCTTTCCAGTCCAGAAGCTTGAAAACATCTTCCAATGCAGCGGTGAAGAGTTTCGGGGATATAACGTCACCCTGTCTTATACCTCTCTGCAGTTGGATAGATTTCGTACACTGGTTCTGTACTGGGATAGCCATCGTGGCTTTACTGTAGAAATATTTCACTACTTCGAAATAACGATAGTCCACTTGGAACCGCTGGAGAGACTGCAGCACCGCCCAAATTTCGACGGAATCAAAGGCTTTCTAATATTCTACATACGCAAGACATAGTGGCAGATTGTATTCTTCGGTCCTCTGTACAACTTGCGAAAGGGTATGTATGTGGTCCATGGTGCTAAAGCCTTTTCAAAAACCGGCTTGTACGAGAGGCTGGAAGTCGTCGAGTCTGCATGCGAGATGATTCGTAATGACTCTCGAAAACAGCACGTAGACCCGGCTCAAAGTGGAAACCGGTCTGTAGTTCTTCAGGAGAGCATTGTCGCCCTTCTTGAATAACAAGACCACCGCACTTTTGCTCTACACCTCCGGAGTAGTGCCACCATGGAGGACGGAATTAAAAAGCTTCTGAAGGATTTCAAGTAACGGTTTTCCACCCACTTTCAGAAGCTCCGCTGTAATTCCATCCTCACCCAGAGCCTTGCCGTTTTTAAGGTGCTGAAGAGCTATTCTTATCTCACTCAGACTGAAGTGCGGGATTTCATCGGAATAGTGTCGGATAACATTTGATTTTGGAACGTGTACAGCTGTATATAGAAACTCTCAATATCACTCGAAATCTCAGGTGTCTCGGAAAGGATGCTGCCACATTCGGTCTTCAGCTTCAACAGTTGGCACGTTCTGGCAGACAGATCTCTGGCAGAGACTTTAGAGCCCTGGTTCCACTCGATCACTTCTTCATTACGAGCAGTATTAAAGTTGCGTAAGTCCCGCCGCATGCATTTGAGGATCTGTCTGTTCAGTTGCCTGTATGCTATCAAATCTACTGAAGACTGCAACTTCATTTCTCGTCTAACAGCTATGTGATTAAGAATGTAATCGGAGAGT